ATACAGTTGGCAGTGCAGTTGTGGTTCTATTGTTATATGTTGATGATATTATCATTACTGGCAGTTCTTTGCCGGCTATACAACAGGTTATTGGTTCCCTTACTTCTGAGTTTGACCTTAAAGATCTTGGGGAGTTACATTATTTTCTTGGTATTCAGATCACTCGAACAGCTTCTGGATTGTTTCTATCACAGGCTAAATATATTCAAGATCTTTTGCAGAAGACAGAAATGGTTGATTCCAAGTCTTGTGAAACTCCTTGCTTACCATATAATCGTTTATTGAAGGATGATGGCATTCCATATACCAATCCTACTGCCTATCGCAGCATTGTGGGTGCCTTACAATACCTTACATTTACTCGTCCCGATATATCTTTCTATGTGCACCATGTTTGTCAGTTTATGCAAAACCCTATGGTGTCTCACTTCACTGCAGTCAAGCGGATATTACGATATTTGAAAGGCACCATGCAGTTTGGTCTTACTTACTCTAAGAGTGATTTGACAAATCGGGCTTTTAGTGATGCCGATTGGGCAGGTGATCCGAATGATCGACGGTCAACTACTGGAATGGTGGTGTTTCTTGGTGCTAATCCTATCTCCTGGTCTTCCAAGAAACAGTAAACTGTCTCTCGCTCTTCCACAGAGGCTGAATACCGTGCCATGTCTATTACCACTGCTGAGATTGATTGGATCTTACAACTTCTCTCATTTCTGCAGGTTCACATCCCTTCGTCCCCTGTTCTTTTCTGTGACAACTTATCTGCCATAGCCTTATCATTTAATCCTGTCCAACATCAAAAGACGAAACATATCGAGGTGGATGTTCATTTCGTCAGGGAGCGGATTGCACAAAAACAGCTTGCAGTTCAGTTTGTGTCTTCTCGTGAACAGTTTGCTGATATCTTCACTAAGGGACTCAGTGCACCCTTATTCCACACTCATTGTCACAATCTCATGCTTGGTTCATCCAACCATGATCTTGCGGGGGGATGTAGAGTATAATCAAGGATAGATATGGTGCCACCTGTCAACTCCATATAGGTGTAGTTAGTTGGGATTGTTAGAAAGGTGGTTATGATGTATGGTCCTTATATAAATATCAGTACAATGTAATAATTTTAGTAAGAAGAAATAAGAAGAACAGTTTTACAGAAAATATCTCTCTCTCTCCTCTTAAGCTTTCTCCTTCTCTCTCTAAGTTCTTTAGATTCTTCATTAGTTTGTTAATGGTGATTTTAACATCTATAATTAAAAAAAATTAAAAAATATACACTAACTATACTTTTTCCGCGATTTCTTATGGGCACACTCTGTATTTTTCACTTTTTTTTTTACTTCATCTTAAATATTCCACTAAATACATACTTGTTACTCAATAAATAGTAATACATTATAAAGATTTTCTTAATGCTCACGGAGAATATTTCGAGAAAATAAAAAATTTTCATTTTTGACCAAACAAACTTGGATAAGGACTCACGGTTTTTCAGTTGGTTTTGCAAATTCGTACATAAATAACCGTTCAATTTATTTATTTTCATTTTCGTCTCACTATGAAGTTTTAAAAATTAAGATGAGACTTTCCGTTGAGATTCCTGAGTGTCGAACCCTATTTGACAATGTTATGGGCCTCACTGTCACTACTATGTTTTTCACTTATTTTTTTAGTTTTTGGCTCAAATATTATACTAAATATACATTTTATGCACAATTAATTGTAAAATCACTTCTAACTTCCTTAAAAAGTTTGGCTAAATGCTCAGGAAAAATATTTTGCAAAAATAAAAAATTTGCATTTTTGTCAAAAAAATATGGGTGTTAGGCTGGCTAGATCATGCAAAACGAGGCGGATCATGGCAAGCAAAACAAGAAGGTGTCCGCTCACAAAAAACGGGGCAGATTTATAGGATGCAAAACGAGGAGAGCTCGCACACGAAAAACGAGGTAGGATATGACACACAAATCGAGGCAGCCATGCGCATGGAAAACGAGGCTATCTCCGTGCACGCCAAAACTATATTTTTGTTGTAGTGGTAATAAAAGAAAAATTAACAAAAGTGTAGAAAAATGACTAAAAGTCTAGGAGTGGTGACTTTTTGGCTACCCCACAAAGCCGTGTGACTTTTTGCCACCCCTAGACTTTGAGTATTTTTGTACATTTTTCTTTTATTTCTCTAACCACTACAAGAAATTGTCATGCTCATGCTCTTCAAAATATGCTCTTCTGTGCAATTTTTTTTTTTATTAATTTGAAGATATTTGAATTTGTCTTTTTGTTAATTTTTCTTTTATTTAAATCTAAACTGCATATTAATCGAACTCTTTTTGTCAACAAAAAGAGGGTGAATGACTATTTAACAAAACAAAATATTGCTCTTTTATGTATACGCCTCACCTACAACTAATTCTAACATCTCTAATTTTAGAAAAAAAAATATACACTAAATATACATTTTAGCACTCTGTATTTTTCATTTATTTTTTTACTTTTTGGCTTTAATATTCTACTAAATATACACTTGTTGCTCAAAAAATCGTAAATCCACTTCCAAATACATTTTAAAGATTTCCTTAATGCTCACGGAAAATATTTCGAGAAAATATAAAATTTGCATTTTTTACAAAAAAAAACGTGGATTAAACACTCACAGTTTTCAATCGTTTTTGCAAATTTGTACATAAATCACCGTTCATTCTTCTTTTTTTACCATCGCTTCACTATAGTTTTTAAAATTAAGGTGAGACTTTCCGTTGAGATTCTTCAGTGTCGAACCCTGTTTGACAATGTTTTGGACCTCACTATGATGTTTTTTTTTTTTAGTTATCAGCTCAAATATGCTACTAAATATACCCTTGTTGATCAATAAACTATAAATCTGCTTCCAAATTGCTTAAAAAGTTTGACTTAATGCACATGAAATACATATTATTTATAAGCACCCCTCTAATGTTGTGATGATCATGTCAATCGTATACTGCAATTTCATGCCAGTTGAAACTTGTCACTAAACTGAATTGTTGAAGAAAATTGAGGTTCCACCATAAAACTAGTTGGCTACATGAGAAGTAGCCCAACTTACTTAAAAGCACATGTAGGTCCCTTCTTTCCCCTATGTGAGATTCAATAAGCCTCTCACGTGTGGTAAATTTTCAAGCCAAACACGTAAACAACACAAACGGGATGGTGTAGAGCATGTGTGGTAGTTGGGCGTCACTTACCTACTCTAATACCATTAAAAAATTAAGATTTCACTCTAAACCCAATTCATTTTAAGGAAAACTAATGAAAATACCTTGAAAACTTTGAGTTTTTACGATAAGGACAAAATAAAGGGTAAAGTGAATAGTATCAGGATTGACTTTTTAGTGTAAAAATGTGGTTTTTCGTTAAAATGAACAGTAGCAGGAGCTTTTTGTTAAAGTTCCTTTGATTTTATGGTGGAACCCTAACTTTCTTCAATTCTTATGGTCTAAATTGGAGGAGACAAAAGCCTTACATTTTCTCATGTACTCCTACACAAGCTTAAGCTAGTACTAGTATATGTGTACTAGTATATGTGTCTTGCCAAGCGTATACATAATCGTAAAACTTGCGTGTTGTTCAACAGTTTTGCGATTACAACTTAAAGAAATCGAACTATTGATTTAGCCTAATTCTAACTCATTCACTCACCGACCCTCACTGCATATCCCAGGCTTATATATATATTGGTTAATTAGTGGGTTGACTGTTGTGAACTCTTTTTCATTAGTTAACTTGATATGATCATTTCGGTCTCCTAAACACCAACCCAACAACACAAATCTATATTAAATCCTATTAAAAATGATACGAAGATTACACAGGAAAAGAGATCTTTCGTAATAGTGCCTAACTCAAGAAAACTACATATATAGAACTTGAATGATGTGACGACTCAGAAAATAAGTACTCGGGTACTCTGTTGAAAATAGATATATCATGAAAAGTATTGCAAAATAATTACGTAGGCAAATTAACCAACTTTAATATTATGAAGGTAATTGAGGTTTCGTCTTAAAGTCAATTAGCAATAGAGGAGTATTTGAATTATTTTTAAGTTCATACAAAGTTTTCTAATTACTCTAACGCGAAACTCACACTCTTAACAGAAGTATTGTCGTAATGATATTTTCGTTGTATGAATGTGCGGTGTAAAGTAAGACGCATGTAGTTGCGTTGAATGAAGGATAGGAAGGGATTCACATTTGGTGTGGCAGTAGGTCACATGGATAAGATAGTACACAGTTAGATACTTTCTCTTGTCAGATGGAAATGTACAGTTAGATACTTCCTCTTGTCAGATGGAAATTTACAGTCCAATGACCATTTCCTAACTCCATTTGTTTTCTTTCTCCTCCCATCTCTTTGGCTTCTTTCTACTTGGAATGTGTGCTCAGAATCTACCGCTCAACCCTATTTTCTCCACCTCTTTCATTGGCCCTTCGATCTTTACCTCCCACAGTGATTTTCCTCAGAGTTACCTTTAAGGCTTTAATCTTCATGAATATTTCTGTAGCTAATCTGCTACGTGAAGTCAGCCTTTTTCTCATCACTGCAAGTCTGCAACTTATTTTCGCAGAGCAATTCTATATATAGAATTTTTTTAATTATATTACAATATCATGATTCCCAAAGAACCAACAAACAAAGAAATTAGAAGTAAAATTGAAAATTTTGCCGGGTAAGAGAATCCCTTTGATCTTATTCATATCCCATATGCTCCATGGCAGTGCTGGAAATCCACTCACTGGCACATGCATATATATCCATTTATCTTAATTATTTAGTAGTGTACTATACAACATTTTGCGAAATTGAGCGTAACTAAGTTGTTATTAATTCTTTTGCACTCAAAATTGAATATCTTCATGTAGATTAGATTAGACTATAACATCGCTCGAACAAGAAAAATTCTTAATATGATCTAAAGCCCAAACTAGAAAATTAATAAGCCTAGACAATCAAGAAAAATATAGGATAGAAACTATAAAGTGTATTATTCAGAGCCAAATCCTACACTTATTTTTCAGCCCAACCGATGAAATTGATGGAGCAAAAATATTGATCTCTGTACATCAATAAATCTACAGCAAAAAAAAAAAAAAAACTTGAATATTTAATTGAAACTCATAGGAAAAAAAATTCCTAATTTTTAATTAATTACTTGTCTGATCACAGAGCCTTTGCCAAACTTGCTTCAGAATAATGTAATTAATCTTCAGGGTTTGGAAATAATTGGATGATCAATTTATTAATGAAAATGGTGCTGCTCAGGCCATGGCCAAAACCCTTGATGCTCCTGATCAATCCCATTGAACATGCTGCACAAGCCTTCATCCTGAATCATCTGATCAACTTTGAGGCACTGAAGATCTGACCGTGATGATCCTTGGAGGGGTTGGGTTATGCTTGCAGACCTGAGGGAGGAGGAGGACGGTGGGAAGAGGTTCCATTCATCTCATGCGGAGAATCAGAAGGCGGGCTGCTGGTGGTTGTCGGTGTTCTTGAAATTTCTAGGTTGAGATGGTGGTGGTGGCCTGAACTGTTCTCACTTCCATTGCTCCAAGAACCCTGGTCAGTTTCTTCTTGAAATTAAACCCCCCTTCATTTGATGAATCTTTGCTTTTTAGAGCCAATAACTGCATCATAATTAATTTTAAACCAGACAAATATAAATATGTAAATAATCGGAATGGAAAATGTAAGGAACATCTTTTTGTAAACCACATTACATGACAGTTAATGGCTAGATTTTTTTGTTTAAATAATTAAATAATTTCAACCATCAAGTACCATGATGTGTGATCTTCAAAATATAATTTAAGTAAATAATATCTCTAGCATAATCTAATTGGAATTAGGTTAACTATTCAAGCAACTAAGATTAAAATACCTTTGTTCATTCAGATGCACATCTGACAGACTGGCACTGATTAAGAGGAATTAATTAAGGAATATTACTACGATTTTTATGCTAATTTTATATTTTTATGTGCATTGGATCAAGAGCAGATCCGGCAACCAGTAGAATTAAGATTAAGATGTCCTAGTAATCATAGTGCACCATAATCCATGCTGATGCTATAGATAAATATTCCTCTTACAATAATAATTTATTAAATGTTCAAAAGAGAAATTAAATTAGCATTTCCCTAGCTACTTCAAACTGTACATCTCAGAAAACCTAAGAGGAAGGAAGAACAAAATCAATCTGCAATGAAATTATCGAGAGGGAGATTCAAACTGCAAATTTTGTATTTATCCCAGAAGAAGAATGAGAAATATAAGAGAAAGTCAGTCTGCGATATTCTATTTTAATCTAATATAGATTAGACGAAATTCAATTTAGAGTGCAGAGTAAGAGTACATCTGCTCTATCCAGCTTGGTTATGCTAAGGATACAACAATTTATTCTTCAAAACTTGCTCAGTGCTTGCGCTAAGGGCCTATAGAAAGAATTAAGTTAAAAGCTTGAGCTAAAAACTTAATAGATTACCTCAGCTTGAAGCTTCTTATTGTGAGCCTGAAGAGCATCATTGTCAGCCTTAAGAGCATCAAATTTTTTCTTCAAAACATCATAGTCTTTCTCCAACTGCTTTGTCTTCCACCTCGCCCTCCTGTTCTGAAACCATATAGCAACCTGTCTCGGTTGCAAACCAAGCGCCTTAGCCAGCTGCATTTTTCTCTCCGGTTCTAGCTTGTTCCCGATTTCGAAGCTCTTCTCCAGAGTCTTGACCTGCTCAAGATTCAGCCTCTTCTTCTTTTCTCCCATCTGGGATCCGTCGTCCGACAAATCATCCTCTCCTCCTCCATGCAGCGCCGCTTCTTGGTCGTGATGGTGGCATTTATTGTTCTCAACACCTGAAAACGATAGTGATCTCTTCATCATAAAAGGCATCCCACCACCTGTAAAGACCCCACACAAAAACCACACAAATTAATCAATAATTAAACACCCCGTTTATTCATAAATAATTTTGATTAATCACAAACTATACAAATGAAGAAAAAAATAAGAGAGAGAAAGAGAGAGAGACCATGGAAGTGTTGAGGGGGGCAAGAGGAATTAGCAAGGTGGAGGTCTGGATCTTCATGGTTTTGAAACATGAAAGTGTGACAAGGAGGGAAGGCCATCATATGTGATGTGAGCTATGAATAATTATAATATTATGATTTTTTTTCATGCAGGAATGAAAAGCATAGCATAGAAATATGGAGGCATCATGTACTAAAAATCCCAATTGGCACTGTGAGCTTTTTGGGACAAATTTTATAAGGGAGGGAGCTTTGGATTATGGTGGTGCTGGCTCTCACTCTCATGGCTGACAGGGCTTTCAGAAAGAGAAAGGGGATGGGTGAGATGGGTGCACAGACTGAAAGACAGCGATTTTTAGGTGAGTAGAGAGAGAGAGAGAGAGAGAGAGAGAGAGAGAGAGAGAGAGAGAGAGAGAGAGAAAGAAAGAGATAGAGATCCATATCCTAGGTTGGGTCCACGAAAGCTCCCCTCCAATATTATACACAAATACCTCACACTCAATTTACTGAGAAATCTTTAATTAACTATGGTGAAATATTTTAAAAACTCTCCCCTGAAAAGTGTAACAAGACTAAATAATAGTAAAACTAATTCTAACTTTCAATTTTTACACTCTGGTTTTCTCTTCATGTAAAAAAATGTAAAAAGAGGAAAGTATAGTGTGAAACATTAGTACAATTTAACATAGGACAATACTTCCGTCATTTTCAAGAAGGAGAGCATTTAGTTCTTTTTATAAATATCTAAAGATCCTTTAAAAAAATTCATTTTATTTGGGACTGTTTAGTCATCTATGTCGAACAAATATGGTAACAAGTAGAATTCTAATTATGAACCATCAAATTCTAGAATTCATATAGATGTGCTTTATGTAAAAAAAATCTCACATAGACCATCCTAAAATAATTGTATGAAGGCATTTTGCATAAAAACCCCACATACCTATTGCTTGCACATAAGGTTAATTAAGTAGGAAAAGTATTGATGCAATTAGTGGTGGACTGTGGTCCACCTCTTTGAAAACTTTAACTTAGAATTAGAGCACTACTTTAACTTTGTATTTGATGCACATTTCTTTGAAACTTTAATATGGTATCAGACCAGGTTTCAAATATGAATTTGAATTATTAGATTCATATATCGCCCATGCTACAAAGCAAATCACAACTTATATCAAATCATTCCCTACTTAATTATATCGGACGTTTTGCATTAAAAACTCCACCCCTATTGGTTGTATGGGTATTGAAGTGGAGACAATATTGCAATTAGTGGTGAACCGTACGTCTCGTCTTTTTAAATTTTAACTGAGTGACCAAATGGTCTTGAAATTGAATGATCAGATGATGATGATAAAGAGAATGAGCAATTTCAATTTTAATGTTTATATAGTGAAACAATGTTATGTTAGTGTGAAAGGCCCTCTATCATGAGAATGAGGGAAGTTTTGTATTTTAATTTAGAGTAGTGATATTCACACACCTTGTTAAGTTTTATGCTTTGATCCTCTTCAATTTATTTGGTCTGACGATCGTAATTCAGAGTAATGTGTGAAAGGTAATTACAAAGAATGTGTGAATATAGCACCACTCTTAGTTTATTATAAATTGATTAAAGGAAAAATGAGTGGAAAAATAGGGCAACATGAAAAAACCACAAAAGAAGAAAATCATTTGGACATCAAATACTTCCCACATGCATCGAAAGATCACATCATGTGCGACGACGAGGAAACTGGGCATGCATGCAACATGAGAACCCAGAATCCAAGGGGAGAAAAATAATAGACAATGATCATGGCTATGACTACGTGTTTCAGTCGTTTAATAGGTTAACGTTTCATCATCGTGGACCTTGCAGTTGCATTATCAATTGGTTAATTAATTCGGGTCTGGCATTTGCTGGAGAATTTTGGTTATTTTTATCAAACGTTATGGAATATTTTATATGAGCTGTTCTTGTGTCACCTTGGGATTTGAAACATAGTTACTATATAGGAGGAATAAAATCATTAACAATTCATTTTAGCATGGTATTTTTTATAAAATTCAAGCATTTTAACCTATACTCTCAGATATCATACATGGTAGATATTGAAGAATACTTGATTCCTTACGTATAAATAATTATTTTTCTTTACAGACTAATCACAGTTTGAAACACATAAAAAAAATTATTGCTTATGTTTTATGATCTGATTCAATTGTAATATAGATACTTTAGTAATGAATAAGTACATTTGTTGATGGCTAAATACAGAGTCTTGTTTCTTTTTTACCGTTTTGTGCGTGTTAGAGAATAAGACTATTTTTGTAGTTCGATAACCAGCATTATGAGTAGTTTGACTTGTCTAATCCTACATCATCCTCATTAAAATAAATAAATAAAGTACATTTGCTTGGCTAGCTAAAATGCCTATAAGAAACACTAGGCTGTTTAGGGTGATATCTTAATTAGTAGACCTAATTAATTAAATCCCAGCTATGTAACCACCCCGACATATATTGTCGAAAACATAATTGAGGTGGGAATTGCAGAACGCATGAGGTTCCACATTGGTTGAAATTAGGGCAGCTCTCTCTCTCTCTCTCTCTTTAATGTAACGGGCACACATGATGGTACACTACGTATCAGTACACAAATTGTGAGATATGTGTGTTAAAATGTTAATAACTTAAAAAATAAAATTTCCCACCACTTACATAAAACATGTGGTGTACCATCCGTATTCCCGTCACAATGTAAAATTTCTCCTCTCTCTCTCTCTCTCACATTAGTCCTTTATGGGATATGTGTGTTAAAATGTTAATAACTTAAAAAATAAAATTTCTCACTACTTACATAAAAACACGTGGTGTATTATCCGTATTCTCGTCACAATAAAAAATTTATCCCCTCTCTCTCTCATAATATTATGGTTTGAAAGCTGAGCAGATAGGCCTTCAAAAGGAAAATGGATCGGATTTGTTGCTTTCACTTTTCTTGTGTTAATACCTACAACCATAAGCCCGACTGTGAATTGTTGTGTCCAGAGACCAAGGAGGGATAGGGCCACCATCTCCACTTCTTCAAGAAGAATTTTTGAATAACGGGAAATTCATTACATTTGTATCTTAAGTTGCATTGTCAGTGAAAAAAATTAAAACGTATAACATAGCATATTTGACTTCAGAGACTACCAAAATAACGTTCCTCGCTACATACAAGTGATAAGGTGTATGTTTGAGAGTGTATTGGTATGGATGCAAAATTTGTTGTTGCTAGAGACCCACCTAGGGCTAGGGCTACCACCACCACCCTACTTCTTGAAGACGAATTTATTATTGATGGAGATTTCGTTGCAACAATTTTATTTCTAATTAATCACATACTGTTACGATGAAAAATTAAAATGTCTGATAATACACATGTTCAGCCTCACATACCGCAGCAGTAATACCTTTCTCGTTACATTATGTGATGGTACGGTAAAGAAGTGGGGTTTTTGGGGCAATGTGGGACCTACTAATGGTACAGCATTTGGGCTGCCCTACAACAAAGCTCCTCTTACAATCACATGCCTTTATTAGAAGTTGAGAGGGTAACCCCTTGGGAGAAGGGTATGTCCATGTTATTCCTTTGTTGATCACACTTCAAAAATAAATTAAAGAAAGAGAGCTTTGAATCTTCTCCACATGGCCTCCTGTTTCCATGTGCCCTGCTTCCAACTCCTTCCTCTTCCTTCTTTCTCTGATAGGGATTCTTCAACCATCTTGTTATTTAATATATATTGTTATGTTCATTGTGCTTCTTCTATTCTCCAACCATGAAAATATTTTATTGCTTTTTTTTAATTGTTTATTACATATATAATATTTTATGGGGTTGTTTTGATACATAAAACTTATTAATCATATCATTTAATCTGAGGTGGTACACTGAAAAATCATCTTTGAAAAGAAAAACTTCCTTTTCATCCAAATGAGAGATTTCTTATTGTGTTAAGAGCACGAGACGGTACGTACATATAATTATACAACTAAAAGAATACTTTAAAAAATAGAACTTTATTTCCACCACTTGTATAGTAATATGTGGTGCATTATGAGCATATTGAAAAATTCCTCCATCCAAAGAGATGAGAAACAAAAATACAAGCATTGAAATTGTGGCATCCACAAGGTATCGTGAAATCGACCTAAACAGGTGGGGTACCCCTCAGATGGGAAAGAAGAATAGACACATTTGAAAGCTTACACTGTTTTTGCATCCACTAATTAAAACCAACAAGAGAGACAGAAGTTTTTCAAAACATAATCAAGGAAAATAAAATGATTTTCACACGCTCTTTTACTTTGTTCTTCACTTTCAAATCTTTCACAAAATCGGGTCATGGGTTTTAATTGGGTTTGCAAAATTTTAAATCTTAAACACTTGTTTCTTCTCTTCATCGTTGAATATGTTATGCTCATTTTCATGTACCCGCTCTCTCAGAACATCTTCTTTCCAGATTGAAAAAAAATGATGCTTGTATTCATTTGTGTTCTACCTCCTAGCTTGAATAGGATCATGCGATACGCCCTTAATTAAGGGAATTGGAAAGGATCATAGAGTTTGCAAGATCTATTTTTATTTTTATTTTTATTTTATTTTATAATGTTTTTGAGAAACTTTGTTTACCTCAGTCTTTTGCCTTTTCTGCTGTGTCTAGCCCTCCCCCAATTTTGTTTGGCATCGTAGACTAGGACATATTTCGTGGCTTGTAACATTTTTCTTATTACGCACACAAGAGAAATAACGAAAAAACCAGTTTCAGTCCATAAATGGACCTTCAACCTCATATGTTCCTTAGAGAAAGCCCAAAATATTTGAGTCCATTTTGCAGATGGATTAATGGTCTAGAGCCAAGAGTTGCTAGAAGAAACCCAAAATTGTTGCTGAAAATATGGACATTTCCATTTGGCAGCACAGACTACAATATCTACGCTGGCCCAAGCGAGCATTGTAGACTTATTCCTCTAAAATAAGAAGCCAATCCAGCTGCCCAATTGATGCCGAAAACATGAGAGAGATTCTACCCTATCCGAGATATATACCTGAGCGATGATTGATATTGGAGAAATTGAGGTTTCATCGTAAAATTAATTAGGAATATATGGAGTAGCTTAACTTCTTACAAGCTCTTACAAAGTTTTTCTTTTCACCGATATGAGATTCTTTTATCTTCACATCCTTGCACGCCCCCTTACATGTGGCAATTTTTTAAGTCAAACATGTGGATAACACAAATTAGATGACATGTAGCACGTGTGACCATTTAGCTTCATACGTGAGTCAACCTTCTCTGATACCATGAAGAAGTTGAGGTTCTACCATAAAACCGACAATATG